GGCTTGTTTTCATGGTGAAGGACACTTAGGCTGGAAATCCTGATATGCAGCTTGGAGTTCCCGCCCTTTAGGGAGGACTTTACAATTGTGCATGCATGCATGCTCAGTCTTGTCCAACTCTTTTGTGACCCCCATGGACTGTAGCCCACCAGTCTCCTCTGTCTGTGGGATTATCTGGGCAGGAATACTGGAGTGGGTTGCCATTTCCTGCTCCAGGGGATCTTCCTGACCTGGGGATCGAACCCGTGTCTCCTGCATTGGCAGATGGATTCTTTACCACTGAGTCAGTGATATCCCTTCTATTTGTGGGTTGCTGATTAGAGTCCTGACTATGTCATGTCTCTGCCTCTCCTATCATCTCACTGTGATTCTTTCTTTATGTATTTAGCAGTGGAAAATCTTTTATGTTAGTTTTCAGGTTGTTTTCATAGTTGCTCTGTAGGTAGTTGTCACTTTGGTGTGTGTGAAGAGTTGAATTCAGGATCTTCCTACTTTGCCACCTTGACTGCCTTAACCTCTATTATTTTTTTTTTAGCAGTTCAAGTGTACTAGAAATATTTTTTGTGTTTATTGGAGTATTTATGGACAACCTAAAGATCTGCCCCCAGAAAATCTGAATTTATCTTTCCTCAGTGGGTCCACCCCTATTTTTGCAGGCCTGGGACAAGAGTTCAAATTGAAGTCCGCTTCTCATAAATGTAAATAAAATTAAAAGTTATCAGTCAAATTAACAAACTGTTGCATAATGTATATTCTGGTGCTCCCATGACAAGTAAAGCTTCACAAAAGCTTGGAAGGCCAGGTTATACTTCTTGGACTCCTTGGTGATATGGTGGCCTGCCCTCCTTCAGTCCCCACCTCCAGTTCCATCCCGCACTGCAGGGACCTTAACGTTAATTCTATCCTCACTTTAAGCAAAACAAGACAAAAACAGCTGACTTTGGCCACCTCTTGGTGTTTGTTTCGTGGTCTTCCTTTGGGAGGGTAGACCTAGGAAGAATCCCACCTCTTCCTGGAAGAAACCTTGGGGCCATTTGGGCTAGGAAATCTGGGGTCATGGGTATGCAAGATTGTGTAGGAGCGGGGGCATTGTTTCCAGAAGTGGCATGCTCTGTTTTTGTGTAGATTCCTTGACTCTGGAGGAGAACCAGACTGTGAGGTCTACAGTGTGAGGTACAGGACATGGGCAACATTGGCCCTACCAAAGAGTGGTTCCGCCTCTCAGTGTCGTGGTAAGAGCAGACCCTGGCCAGTCACAATGTAGGAGCTGGCAAGTGAAGGACAAAGTAGGGTAGAGCTAGTATTTTTCCTACCATAAATTAATGAATAACTGAAAAAAATGTATCTTGATATGAAGTTTCTGGAAAAATTCTCAACAGGTGTTTTAAACCCATCCCCCTTCCTTTCGCACTGCCTCTTCTTAGCCTGGGGCTCCCTCATCAAACTGTAAAATTGAGATCATTGCTTGAATTATTCCATTGTTTTGCTCTTCCTTGGTTTCAAGAGAGTATAACTCTTTAGTTTGGATTCCAGATCCTTGCTGTTTAATCTCTTTGTTTTTTGGACTTGGTTTGTTAACTAAATCTTTGGATTCATAATTTTTCTCTCGACTTAGAATTTAAAGGAAGATATTTTTCCTTTACTCTTTTAAGTTTCAAGGTATATTTGCCACTGTGGAAAAAAAAAAAAACATGTAAATCCAGTCAGAGAAAAAGATGACAAGAGTTATTTTGGATATAATGTTGCTTGAGAAAAATAAAATTTTATTTCCCTAATTTGACAATAATTGTTTATTCCATTCATAAAGGAGAAAAATTAAGTTCTTGTGTGCTGTTTTAAATATACTTTAAGGAGAAAAATTAACACATAATATTATATTACATTAATATATGTCAGGAAGGTAACTTGAACATAGTTAAAAAACAAACTTGAAAATATTTGCTTTGCTGTGCAGGCTTTTCAACAGTTATTTTTAAAGACTGAGGAATTAAGCACCTGTCACTTTTGCCAGCTGGTGTGGATGTTAAAAATGACTGTCACTCTCTTGCCTGCTACTCTATTTTGCACCTGCTACAACTTGAGTCATGGGCATCTCACACATGGTAATTTAATAAGGCTGGGTCCCATGACAGTATATTGATATTATCCCATGGGGAGTTAAAGCAGTTTTATAAGGTCTTGAGGGAAATATATTAAATATCAAGCTTGAGAACTAAACATTCAGTGCCTTGTAGACATCACATTTTTCTAACTGAAAACTATTAAAGGAGTGTCCAAGATGAGAAATTTAGCCACATGTCCCAAAACAAAAGTGAGCCTTTTAGGATTGGATTATTTGTACCAATTGACTTCTCTACATGCTGACTTCTGTAATTTTTAAAAACACATTTTACTTCCTGATGTAACAACCAAATGTGAGTGTGTACTGAGAGCTTATCCGTTCAGTATGTATTCATGAGTCACATAGGGCTATTTTAATTAATTAAAATGAGATACAATTAAACATTCAGTTCTGCACTCACACTTGCCACATTTCAAGGTGTCAGTCACCAGATGCGGCTAGCGGTTACCATACAAGACAATATAGATACAGATTTCCATTTTCACTGAAGTTTCTATGGGATAGTGCTGTGTTAAATTTCCAATTCCTGGTCTGAGGCTAAATTGACCTTAGAGATCTTGAGGCCATAGTAAATTCTCCTTAGAAAAATGATTGCAATGTCCCAACCTTATCTTGGCTACAGAAACGTAGGTCAAGTTTAATGCTGAGGGCTACTGAAATCTGAGTGACATTTGCTAAATAAAGGAGCATGATGACCTGAAGTGCCCGACATCAGGACAAAGCTGTTCCAGCTTCCAAAAATGTATAGGCAGGCAGGTACTTTTCAGACATTTTAAAATCCCATATATTTTAGAGATATCTCTTTCAAGAGTGGGAAAAGTATTTATCATTTCATCTTTTCTAAATATCCAACTACTAACTTGCAAATTCTGCTTCTATTCTTAAAATAAATAAAGTGATAGGATGTGATAGGATGAATAAGTTTACACTGTGAACTTATCTATCAATTGATCTTATTATTCAGAGCATGTGTTAAAAGATGGAACTAAGATTTTGGGACACGGACATACGAAGTAGGAGAGAGGATATTAATAGATAGAGTCTTGAGTAAGAGTGTCATTCTCAGAGAGGTTTTCAGAGAGGTTTTTTTAAGTAACAGCTGAAAGGTCACTTTAAAATTTATCCTTGAAGACATTCAGTGAGATAGATCAAGAGCTTATTAGAATTTTCCAATAGGCCAGATTGTCACTAGAAGTGAAATAGTTCAAGCTATGTATACAATGATTTACACAAAGCTGAAGAAACGTGCTTTCACTTAAACTGCCTGGATGTTATTGTTTAGTTGCCGAGTCGTGTCTGACTCTTTTGAGACCCCACAGATTGTAGCCCACCAGGCTCTTCTGTCCGTGGGATTTGCTAGGCAAGAATACTGGAGTGTGTTGCCATTTCCTTCTCCAGGGTACCTTCCTAATCCAGGGATTTAATCCACATCTACTGCTTGCCACATGGATTCTTTACCACTGAGCCACCTGGGAAGGCCAAATTGCCTGTATAATTTATATTAAACTATCTTTATCTGAATTTCCTCAGTTTTCTATTTTGCTTTTTCAATAATATATGATTATCATTAATATTTAGTTTGTCATTGCTCTATAGACTGTGATTATTCTCTTAAAATTTTATAATTCATCAACATTAAGAAAAGAACTGGGATTTTGAAAAATTAGTTTCTTTAAGCAGGAAGATAAAAATATGATGCAACTTGAACATTCCAGACTGACCAAAATTATTTATTGATTTGTTATTTTAAGGATGTTCTTTGACCCATGGTAGAAAATAAAGAGTAAGGCTTGGATCTGAGATTGTCAGTATTTCACCATTCTTGTCTAGATGAGCAGACACTTGGTTTGTGTGGTATGAATATAATCCAGAGAGAAACATAAAATGTATAAAAATTCAGGGAGTCCTTCAGTTCAGAATAGTACAAATTGTTTTGTTTTTCTAAATGATGGGAAACAGATTTGGACAGTTAGTCATGGGTGTTCTTAAACTAAGGTTCAGCCAGTCTTCATAAACAATGCTTGATCTATAAAGAAAAAGGGAAAAAGAGTTAGATGTTGATTGCATCTTTTCAGAAAGAAAATGGGAAATAATGGGAAGGAAATACAGTAAAGTGAAAAAGAAGAAAAAAGCACAAAATGAACCATCAATTCCAAGGGATGGCATTTCCTTGCTGCACAAACCTGGTTTCAAGTGCTGCACTTTGGACTGTGATATGCTTTTCTAGAGCAGTAATTATTAAAAATGACTTTAATACACTTTAGAGTTATTCAAAGAACCTAGGATAATGCTTTTATTATTCTTATGTTACAATTAAATCAATTAACTACTCTCTGGTTTCTTGACTCTCCACTGCATAATTATAGTACAGATGAAGATATGGTCTATTTGTTGTTGTTTAGTTTCTAGGTCGTTTCTGACTCCTTTGTGACTCCATGGATGATAACCTGCCTGGCTCCTGTGTCCATGGGATTTTCCAGGTAAGAATTCTGGAGCATGTTGCCATTTCATTTTCTACAGGATCTTCCTGACTCAGGGATTGAACCCACATCTCCTGCATTGGCAGATGGGGTATTTACCACTGAGCCACCAGGGAAGCCTTGATATGGTCTATAAATGGAAGCAAAAACTCAAAAGTTTTTGCTTGTACACTTATGCGAAAATAATCTATTTCTAAATAACCCATCTCAAGGAGTTATAATAATATAATGCATTAATATTAATATAATATCAATTATATTAAAGTGTTCTGGTTAATATGAATAATTCTTTATTCTATCTATTAATAACTAATATGAATAACTCTTTACATTAAATACAATATTGAGAAAGCCTTATATATTAAACAGGGAACAGATAGATACCTTGAGAGCGCCATTTAGTTAGACATGATGTGCTTGACAAAAGCTGTAGGGATAATACAGATTAGAGTTAGAAAAGAGTCAAATTTAATAAAAGAGCAGTATGGTAAGTTAACTTAATTCTAATTATTCTAAGCTGTAACTCTAGAGTTTATTTATTTAAACTCCATATGTCCCACTATTCTTAATACTAGATTTATGGCTTTCCCCCTGATTTTGTAAGTTTAGTTTTTTAAGTGTTACATTCATATGGTTAAATGTTTTTCTTGAAAGTATGAAAGAGTTTATAACAAAAAGTTTTCCTCACTACTGTCTCCTAGTTCCTCTTTATAGCTAAGTGGGTGGAAGTTATTATGCTTGCTTAGCAAGCATACAGGAGTGGGTAGCCTTTCCTCTCTTCAGGGGGTCTTCACAACCCAGGGATCGAACCCTGGTCTCCCACATTGCAGGCAGATTCTTTACCATCTAAACCACAAGGGAAGCCCCGCCCCCATACAAATATACATTGTATACTTTTTTTTACACAAATGGTGGCAGTTCTACAAACCCTTTTACTCTTATTTTTCTCACTGCATAACATACTGTCTTAGAAATACTACCATAACCATAAGTAAGGGTGTCCTGTTCTTTTTAGAGCTGTGGGGAATTTCATTGTGTAGATGTACCAAAATCTATCTGATGCATTCTATATTGTTGGACATTGTTCTTTCTTGTGGTTGTTTAATTGCTAATTGTGTCTGATTCTTTGTGACCCTATGGACAGTTGCCTGCCAGGCTCCTCTGTCCATGGAATGCTCCAGGCAAGAAAACTGGAGTGGGTTGCTATTTCCTTCTCCAGGTGACCTTCCCGCTTATGGCAGTAACTGAATGTAAAATGTTGTTTATAGGAAAAAGTAAAGTTTAACCAAGATTGTCAGTGCAGATATGCTTGGCTGAGTATTTTCTTTTTCTCCTATCCTTTCCTGTCCTCTTCTCTCCTTTCCATCTCTTTTCCCTCCCTTCTTCTCTCCTCTGTGTTTCTTTTCTTTATCCAAGTTATCAGACTTTGTAAGTCCATATTGCCATCAAAGCTATCAACATAGTTTATTGAGATGTGGTGAGATTAGTCTTTTTGGGAGGGTGGATAAGTTTCTCAGTTATATTGCAACATTTCAAATTTACAAGTTATATCATGCAGTTTTATCTTGTATCTTTATTTTGGGTGATGCATTGCTTTTCAGACCCTCTGGGTGAAGCTGCCATAAACTGGTGGCAGGAAATAGATAATTGGATACTATGAGATCAATTTCATTTAAGCAAGAACACTAGATAAGGAGAACTAAATTTTAGCACCAGCTTTGCTAATAATGATGTGACCTTCACTAAGTAGTTAAACATCTTCAGCACTCAGATTCCTCATTTTTATCACTGATTGCTGTAAAGGATTTTGTGATATCTCCAACTGTAATATTCAATAATTAATATTAAATTTAATATTAAAATGTATTCTGATACAAACGCTGTCTTACAGAGGTGTTGTGAAGCTCTAATAAGATGGCTGATTCGTGTTGATATATGGCAGAAACCAATACAATCTTGTAAAGCAATTTTCCTCCAATTAAAAATTTTTAAAAGATCTAATAAAAAAGTAAAAACACATTTTAATCTGTATAACAATGCACGAAAATGTTAAAACCCACTGATATCAATGTATATAGTCAGATCCTTACAAGATATCTTTTTAGGGTTATTGTGTAATTGGTTGATAATAAATAATGTGTGTATATTCAATAAAAAAGTAGAGAAAAATAAGTTGTGTTAAACTCAAAAGGCATCCGCCATCAGCCCAATCAGTTCAGAGTTTCTGTAACCACCAGATCACGTGAAATGATACCTTCGTAGTTGATGCAGCCATTGGAGTCTTCTTGACCTGCCATCAGGGCTTCCACTTCTTCTTCCTTCATCTTTTCGCCTGATGAAACAAAACTCTTTGTTCAAGAAGAAAGCCAGAGAATATTCTCAAAATTCTACCCTAAGTGATAAGATTTGCACTCCTGGAGACCTCTTGTAGAATAGACACCAAGACTTTCCTGTTGCTTTGGCAGGAAGTTTGCCTATAAATTGTTTTTGAATGAATGAATTAAGTTCACATTATACCTGATCAGCCATACTCTATCCTGTAAGAACTACAATGCCATATGTTACTTATTCATAACCAATAATTCAAGTTATTAAGACCATTTCCCCCAAATAAACTCACTGACATTGAGGCTAATTGAAATGGTCATTAACTTTTGACTATTCCTTTTCATTTTCCCTTTGTAGTCTTTCCCTCTACTTTTTTTGGTTATAACATGATTCCCCTAAGTCATGCTCCTTCCTACATACTCTGTCCTATTAAGTCCACTGAAATGAATTTTTCTTACCTAGTGTGGCTAGAACATGACGAAGTTCAGCACCCATGACAGTGCCATTGCCTTCCTTGTCGAAGACACGCAGACCCTCAACAAAGTCTTCATAAGTGCCCTGGTCCTTGTTGTTGGAAATAGCTTGCAACATGGGCAGAAATTGTTCAAACTCAATTTTCTTGGCATTCATCTCTGAAAGGAATTGCCATTTGGAGAGTTATCAGCTATCATAAAATGCCACCACTGAGTTACAAATTAAGCTTGAATGTTCACTCTGGATCATCAGAAAGATCTTCGTACAGCTTAAATTTCAGTTGGTAAATGGCTGCTGACAGAAAGTTTGTAATAGAGAGTAGCATGACCTCTGGAGTCCTGGTGCTTGAGCTTTTATCCTTAATTCACCATTTACAAATATGTGATCATGGGCAAGTTTCTTAACCTCTTTGTGCCTCAACTTTTTAACCTTTCAAAAGAGACACTTTGTAGTGCTTTGTGAACATTAAATGAGGTAATAATGCACAGTCTATTACAGTACCTGGGACAAACTGAGTGCTTGATCAGTGTTAGCTACTATTTCATTAGTATTGTTAATTAATAAATACTGATAAATACTAGGGGAGCAATATAGAAATATACTGATAACAAATCTATTGGCATAGAAATATAGCAAAACCTAGCTGAACTTTAATATGTATTCCACCATTGTTTGAGCTTTTGCAGAGCTTTCAATCTCTTTAAATTTTAATTTAAAAATAAGAAGCCTATGAGAAGAATGTGTGTGTGTTAAATACTTTGTGATCTCCTAACTTTGTGGTTTTAGAAGTCTGGAGATGATAAGAATTTCTTTAGTAACCTTCTGACAAGGTAAATGGTATTTATAGCAAAAGTATAAAACAGACTAATCAGATGTACACAAATGGATAAAGTTATGTACCCATAAATCAAAATTCCATTTACCAGTCTTTCCTCATAGTGTAGAAATCTAGTATATTGAGTAATATAGAGAAAATTAAATTTGAATGCTGAATAAATGAACATTTATCTAATAAGTCTATTAAATACAGAAGTTTTATAAGTTAGAAAATGACATTTAAGAATGAATTTGGCTAACTGAGCTCTTACTTTACCTGATGCTCTCAAGTACTTTTTGAATGTATTATGTGGACATTTTTGTCCAAAGGAAATATAATTTGAGGGAAATTCTGGCAGGCTGATTTAGAGGTAGTTTTTTCTTTTTTTCTTAATCAAATATTTTTTCTTTTGTAACAAAGGAACACAGTCTTTTCTAGAAAAAAAGAGATTGCCTTCCCAGCCTTATTTTCCATATGGTAAGGATAAACTGAGATATCTACTTGAAAAAAACTTCAGTTTAGTATCTTCTGTTTTGTTTAGAGTGGTATTTTCCAACAGACTATTATACTTCGCCATGAACGATGGGATTAGAAAAAATTTCCTTGTTCTTGACTAAGGACTGACTAGATTGCTCTACCCAGCAATGACCTCTGCAGTTTTGCCACTTATATATTTCACTAGCTTTTGCCTTAGGATTTTCCTTGGGCAACTGAATGCAAGTTTTGGCTTAAGATTTTTAATTCTTTTTAGAATTTTTTGTTAAGGTATCATTTATCTATTCTAAATTAAGATAGCCAAGTTTTCTTTAAGATGGTTACAGAAGTAGGGTTATATTTAGATAGCATGATGATGATGATATTAGCACTAGGTATTATTTCCTTTCATTAATATGAAATTATGCTTATGAATTCTCAAAGGAAGGTTAATTTATCTTATGGAGGAAAAAACTGAGACTAAATAGCCAAGAAGCACAGTTACCATCAGAAATACATTAAAGCCTATTCTATGGAACTTGTTTCTCAATAACTCTCTCTCTATTATACGCACACACACTCCCAGCTTCTTGGAAAAACATGTGGTTACCTTCATTGCTGGGGTTTCCCAGCACCTTCTTGACCTCTGCATTGGTGGGATTTGTGCCCAGAGCCCGAAGGACATCACCAACCTGGTTTAAGGTGATCTTGCCTTCACCTGTTCTGTCAAACAGGAGAAACGCCTCCTTGAATTCTGCAAGAAGCAAGAAACATTTGGTTGGTTTTTTTCTGCCTCAAACTTATAAAGGAACCCAAACTTCATCAAGGATCCAGTTCAAACTCTCCTCTATTTTATAACTTTTGCCAGTCTCTTCAGTTGCTATCTTTGGAGTTTCCCTTTTCTGAGCTCAATGTCAACACTCTTTTGACAGTTCTTTTTGGGACTGTTTTAAAGCAGCATTTCAAATTTTAAGTCATATGTTATTATTTATTAGATATGGAAATTGAGAATCCTCATCATATTTGTTCATATCTCCTTCATCTGCCTTGGAAACAGGACTGGGTTAAGAAATTCTGATGCCTGGCAAAATCTTAAGAATTCCTCATAAAATCCCTCATATAATTAACAAAGTTAATAAAATTTCAAGAAAACAAACATTTAACTGGGGTTGTATCATGTGAGGTTAACCCAAATTTCTCAAGTTATATAGAAAAACTTCTCTTGAGGTACAAACTCCCTAGACTTTCTTCTTAACGAATTTTCTTCAGGAGTAACTTCATTTTTCAGGGAAATTTTAGAAAGATGACACAAATCTCTAAGTTCTCTGGTGTCCTTTAACCACCGATGCGTGACTTTAATAGGCTCCTAGTGTAACAGAGTCAGAAGGAAGCATATTTATTTGAATCTCTTGCTATAGTGATTGCTTTAAACTTTATTTTTTTCAGGTACTACATATGATAGCATGTTGCTATATTAGTTTTATTATGCAGATACATATTTTAATTTAAAATTTTATGGAGATAATTGTAGATGCATGTGTCATTTTATGAAATATAAGGAGATCTCTTAAATACTCTGTCTGGGGGAAAATACTATTTCCCCAATGGTAGCATTTTTCAAAATTATAGTATATGATATATAACACTATATATGTATGTGTATATGATCATAACCAGAATATTCACATAACCAGAATATTCACATTGATAGAGTCCACCTATTTTACTCAGATTTCCCTAGTTTACTTGTATTCATGTGTGTATGTAAGTACACATTTTAAAAGTGTTGTCTGTTTTTATAACAGTCGCTCTGTTGGCTGTGTGCGTGTGTGCTAAGTCACTTCAGTCTTGTCTAACTCTTTGTGACCCTATGGACTGTAACCCATCAGGCTCCTCTGTCCGTGGGATTCTCTAAGCGAGAAGGCAGGAGTGGGTTGCCTTGCCCTCCTCCAGGAGATCTTCCCCACACAGGGATTGAACCCACATCCCTTATGTCTCCTGCACTAGCAGGCGAGTTTTTTTTTTCTTTTACCACTAGTGCCACCTGGGAAGCCCCACTCTATGACTTACTTGCCCTAAATTTGGTCACTTTCCTTTGATATAATTGGTTTTGCCTTTCAGGATTACATTAACCCAAAATTAAGAAGTGCACACCAAAAAGACAGAAAGAGGTGCTACTATGGATTTAGGAGCAAATAAAGACGTTTTAATTGAAACAACAAAGCTAAATTAAATCAATTGTTCTGGCGAACCTAAAAGTACTGATGGTGATCTGTTGGAGTTTAATACCAACACTCAAAAACTCATTTGTGAATGAACTGGTAGAGGTGAAAGCATTCTTTTTAGGCCATTAGTGGCCTCAGATCAAGAAATACTATCTAGGTAAATGACTCAGAAAAATATCTTAACTATCCCTTCACCCTCTAATCCAAGACTACCAGACATTAAATTCACAATCAGCTATAGATCATGTTACCACTCTTTGCTGAAATGTCCCCCTCAGCTCTTATGCAAATTGACCTCACAGATCATTTCCCTTACCTAAAAAACATGCTGTGGGTCCTGTGGGGTCATTATTAGTCAAATATAATTTTTCATCTTTCTAAGGGAATTGTGAAACTGAACTGCTCTTATTACTGGCTCCACCCTTTCAAGCAGATTGCTCAGAGGGCTCCCTATTATCCTGGTCAGATGCTGATATAGAAATAGGGTTTTATGGGCTATAATGGAATCTCTTTGACATTAACTCTTTTGTTGATTTAAAGGCCAAGAACAGAAAGATATATTGCTCTTCTTACTTCAGATTTTTAAAGCTTAGTTATTCCCTTGAAGAATCTAAAACATGGGTTAGCCAATGACTGTCTACAGGCTGGCCACCTCTTTTTGTAAATAAAGTTTGACTGTAATATAGCCATGCTCATTCATTTATGTATTGTCCATGGCTGTTTTCATACCTCAGGGACAGAATTGAGTTGTTTCCACAGAGACTGCAGTGCCAACAAAGGCTTAGATATTTACTATTTAGCCTTCTAGGAAAAAATTTGCCAGCCCTTAGTCTAGAACAACACTGTTCTAGGATTTTTGTGATGATTGAAACTGTACTGTATCCAGGCTTCCCAAAAGGGTAGGAGCTACCAGCTGCCCATGGCTCTTGAGCATTAAAATATGACTAGTGCAAAGCAGAAAGTAGACTTTTAAATGCGTTTATTTTTACTTAATTACAGGTTAAATTTAAAAAGCCACATGTGGCTAGCGGCAACTTTTCTGGATGGCACAGGACTTACACCTTTAGAATGCTATAATTTTCTGGTGTTCTTGTCTTTATTCTGAACTTGTGATACATTCAAATAGAGCAGCTGTGAGAAAAGCTAATCATTGAAGGAGGAAACAAACAAAGCATGCCTTTATTTATTTCTTAAAATATAAGATTTCCTTTTAATTTAAAAGTCTCTCAAAGGGTTTTTAAGTCTTCTGTTGCTTGGTTCTACCATAGTTTGGCAGTCATTATGACACTGTAAGTTAGATATTTGAGAGGACTGGGATATAGGAGCAGATATTGTAGCAGCATCATTAGTTAAAATAGATTAAAAATCAAGTAAACTATAGCAGAATTACCAACTGTTTTCAAAGAAAAGCTAGTCCTTTTAGTACAATGTCAAAGGATCTTGAGCTGAGTCATCAAATCATCTAATTTGTCTACATGAAGGCATTGACCATGAAATATATATATATATAAGTCTGTACTATAGCAAATATCCTTTTATTTTCTTTCCTTTTATGAAATATTTTAACTGATGTCCAAATGTGAGATATTCTTGACACTCAAGAAAAAGCTGAAAAATGTTGACTCCTTTAGGTATAGAACAGAGTATAATTATAATTTTATACTTATGAGTATTTTCACAATTTTTAATATTATATATTATAAAATACATAATATACACATACTTATTTTTATGACCAATATTTCTATGATATTATATAATTAAAATTTTATTATTTTATTCCATTCTTTCTATAGACATACTTTTGTCTCAATTTATTTAAGTATGTGACTCTTTTCCATAAAACATTCTGTCCTACACTTTCCAGTAAAAAAATAAGATTCATAGGCCATGGGATGGCTTTGATCTAAAGACCTGAATAAGAAACAATGAAAGTGTTAGTGAAACTATTCAGATTCTTTTGAATCTCCAGAGCTTAAAGTATTGTAATTAGAAACTGTTTCTATGAAATAAATTCCTAATTAATTCAGCTAGTTATGATTTTGATGCCATCACCAATTCTTTGGAACTTTGAGTCAGTCTCAACATCTCTCTGGGAGCCTGTCCTGCATCTCTAAAGATGGACTAGGAAATGTCTAAGGTTCCTTCCACTTTTTTTTTTTTTTAATAAATCACTTCCCTCTCTCTCTGAATGTACTCTCCCCCTAAATCCACTTCACCTTTATTTCTCTCAGCTCACTGTGATGCCCATTGAAATCATGTGTATTTGGTTACTGGGCAGTTTTATAATCAGTTTTATTTTCTAAAGTGAACAATTTAGACCTGCCAAATTTCTGTGTAGGCATTTGATTAACAAATCAGCCATCCAAAATCCATATCCTTTTTGGGGGTATATGTATGATATTACCTACTGTATCAAATTAGTTCTATTTAGAAATCAGTGAATACAAGGAATTATTTCGTGGTGTTTAGCTTTTGTTTGCTTAAACCTTTGATTACTGATTATGGACAAAGGGTTCATGTTGAGAGAATTTATGTTTAGAGGGATTGAGAGCATTTATATTTAGAGTGACAGCACCAGTGGGGATAATTAGAAAGAACTAATCTCATCTCAAGTGAGTTGGTTTTCTCACATGCCATCTTTATGAGTGTGCACATATTAACAACTATATCATTTAAACTTACCATCCTGCTGTTGCTTAGAGAACTCGATCTGTTAGAAAGAAAGTAACCACAAAGACTATTTTAACCAAACAAAAATGTCCTGATTTTTTAACTGTATCCAAGCTCATTCCCTGAGTGGTCTTCAAAGTAAGCTCAAAAATTAGGCCTACTTTTCAGAGTTCAGGCATAGCTTGGACACTCACAGTTCGAGCCACACAGTAACATGCCTTGGAGGTGCGTATTATTTCAGAAACTGAGCAGTACTCTGCCTACCTCTGAAGTAGAGAAGCTCATTTCACTTACCAGCAATCTGCTCAGCACTGAAGGACTGCAATGGCGAGAGAGAGGAAGAAAGAAAGAAACAACTAGTACTCTTTCAAATGCATTGACAGAAGGGTGCGCTCTCTGCTCTGAGGATTTTAGGAAGCCATGTAGGTGTCAGAGAATAAGAAGTTTGCCTTAGGATACTTTTGAATCTAGGAAAAATAAAAAGCTATTGCAAAACATAGTTAGGGAATATCTTTCTGTATCTTAACCCATGAGTCAATAATTTAACAAATGTTAAATCAAATTCTTCCTGGAACAATATCATAATCTATGGTGCATTTAAGATATGTCTAGTATAGATACACTGTATGAAGAACTACAGACACACTGCATTAAAAAGATCACTTTAAGTCTTTCTTCTATTTAACCAGTATGTTTTACCCAATGCATCAAAAGTAGTTTATTTAATTTTAGTTATCAGCATCATTGGACTGTTTTTTTTAAGGTGCAATATTTTGCTATAATTGTAGGTTCCCCCCCCCCAAATTTAGATATAATAAGCCTTATGAGATATAGAAAGTTGGTGAAGCATAACATACTTCTTTTGCAAGTAAGATGTATTTCTCTAGTTGGCATAATAGCTTGAATTAATCTCGTCTATCCTCAACACACCTCGATAAAAACCAAAAGTAGATTCTACAGGCTCACACTGAGTATGTTCTCTGTTCAATTTCATTCCTATCTCCTATCATATCTGCCTATAAATTACAAACAGTTTTCTTGTAGGACCCACCATGATGGAGCTGCTGGGCTGCAGACAGTGGCGAAGCTGAAGAGTGAGTTGAGGGCCGCTCCAGTCCCTGAGTGGGTCTTCCCTTGCTGAGGCTGCCTTTTATTTCTGGAGAAGCCGTGACCTCACAACTAGCATCAGGTTCCCAAAGAGAAGTAGCCACTCCTCTTGGAGGGTTTTTTAACTTTCTTAGGGCAAAGGGAAGGAGAGATCTGTACCCTGAGGTCTATTTTTAGGAAATCAGAACCTAAAAGTGGATGGCCATGATGAGACCAATGCTTATCAGTACTTTTATGGTCTTTAACCCTGAGATAGTCTCTTGGAATGTCTTCCTTGAAGAAGATTCTTACTTGTTCAGTGGCAGAGGGGCTCAGAATTTCTTCAAAGACTCCGGCTGACCTCTTCTCTTAGTGAATTATGGACTTTGCAAGCTTTAAGTCAGCAGTTGGGTATAAATGGAACTTACTGGATGGGACTGGTTTGGGGTTTCAAATGGCAACTGCTATAGAAGGAAGAGCCTGTGGAGCTCCGTCCCCTTTGGTAAAGTTCAGAGGACTTGAAAGGGACACACACATGCCATGTGCTTCTTAAGGTCCTACTAAGTGCAAATCTGGTCAGTTTTTTTTGGTGAAATCTCCAACTAAAGACCATTCTTTTGCACACTGTACTCTCAGAAGTATAGAATTCATTTTAAGCCAGAGATGGTTTTAATCTCCATTTTTAGTATTCTTCCTTAGTATTCTTACTTTAGGGGTAGGTATTAGATTCCTTCCTTGTTTTTCTTTAGGAGACAGAAATGGCAACCCACTCCAGTATTCTTGCCTGGAAAATTCCATGGGCAGAGGAGCCTGGCGGGCCACAGTCCATGGGGTCACCAAGAGTCGGACACAACTGAGTGACTGAGCATTCACTCTTCTCTTTATGGTGGCCGACGAGTCATATTTTTTGAATTTATGAAATTCTTCTAGGAGGCAAAGCTGATGGGCCATTTTGTGTTCTTTTCCCCTCTCATTCTATACATCTTCTTTTAAAATTTATAAATGTTGCTTACTTTCTTACTAGAACTTGCTGTTTCCCTTTCTGTCATGTCAAACATTTTGTGACTCAGTCACCAGACTGAGAACCAAAAGAGGCCAAAGTAAAGACTGTGAAATGCAAAGTTTTCATTTAGAATTTTAAAGGTGTCCATGGCATTGGATTAAGTTTTCATGGCAGCTTACGAGAAAATAGGTAATTTTCTATTTCCTACGCTTCCTAGAATGATATTAGAAAAAGATCAGTCTAGATGTCCACTAAAACTCAGACATGTTTGTCAGTTTTCTATATACTTAAAACAGCTCAAAGGCATAACAAATGTTAGAGATAAATTCCAGTTTAAGCACTGTTTTAGCAACTATTTTTAAGAAAATGATCACGAAAAGCATAGTCTCCCTCTGCTAGACAGATGTATACTTTGCAACTTTCCCCCAAGCCATTTGGAAAGAAGTCAACATTTAAGTATATGTCTTTTTTTTTTGTCCAAAGTCTGCAAGTAGTGAAGAAAATCTCATAGAATCTGAGTCCCAAAATGAGATTGAAAGTATAACTTAAACAGTATTAGAATCCATATAAACATATTTTCATGAATAGATTGACATTTTGAAAGGTTGTTGGGAGATAGAAGTTAATAGAAACATTTAAATCCTTTGAATCATTAGGGGGAAAGAAAGAGAGGGACCAAGGTGGAAATTTGTCTCCTTCGATAACTAATTTGGAGTCTCATGACTTTTGATGCACAATTAAAGCCATTACAGCAGACCATCTTTCTTTGCTTTAGATTTAGGTACTGTGTCATTAAATCTGAATTGCCCTATGATCAATATTGAGAACTATCATATTCTTTGGTAAATCATCAAAGGTACCCTATATAATTTCCATCATATACCCTACATAATGCTCATTTCCTTTTTTTCAGATAGAAAAATGAATCCTTGAATACATATAAAATACAATGTATGTAAAATCTGTCATATAAACTGCAAAGTCATTTTGCTGTATAATAGCTGTATTTATGTTATAAACAAGTTATTCATAGCCACTTGCATACTGTGTAAAGGTTTATTATTTATTAAAATACAATGGAGGCAGTTATCACACTACTTCACTAGTTTTTAATCCATATATTTATCACATAGAGAATGAGAGTTTGATTTTTTTAATGCTTATTGAGGAAGGTAAACATTTAAAAAAGCTATTGACAATGGTAGAGAAGGCTACAGTCTAGTCTAGAGAATAAACTGTAGTTTAAAAGTCAAAAGACCTAGATACTGGCATCGTAGAATAAATGGAAGATGATATTTATTCTTTGGTACACTTTTACACTTTGACAAATGGTAAAAACTTTCACTTATATCTCCCCCTGGGTGTTATAATGGTGAAGTAATCAATCCTTTGCACAAAGGCATGATATGAATACAAAATGTCTGCTGATTTTGGACTCAGTTTGCTATGGCATCATTTTATTATGAAAGTTACATTTAAGTCTCTTCTATCTGGAATGTTCTCCTGTCATCTCTGCTTCTTGGAAATTAATTATCCTTCAAAACCGTTGAAAGAACCTTTTCTATTTGTCTAACTCCTTTCTCCCACTTCAGTATGTTTAACCTTCCTGATTGTAAACTTCTGAGAAGCACAGGCTGCTACTGGAGACCAGTTCCCTTGGTCCATGTTTTGAACCTGAGTGTGAGCCAACCTCTCCCTCCTGGAGTGCTGCCCCTGCCTTATTCTTAGATTGTGTCCCCCATAATCCTATACAATACCTTGTCTACATTAGATACTTAACAGAATTTTCATTAAATTAAAATCTTTAGAACAGGGACTTTCCAGATGGGGTTAGTGGTAAAGAATCTGCCTGCCAATGCAAGAGGCCTGGGTTTGATCCCTGGGTCAGGAAGATCCCCTGGAGAAGGAAACAGCAACCCTCTCCAGTATTCTTGCCTGGAGAATCCCATGGACGGAGAAGCCTGGCAGGCTGCAGTCCATGGGGTCGCAAAGAGTCAGACAGGACTGAAGAGACTTAGCACATAACACAGCACAAAACAGGTGTACAGTAAGTTCCTCCTTCAAACATGTTTCCTCCTCTAAAATATTATCTTCCTGGAGGGGAGAGACCTTGTCAGTTCCTTTAAAGAGCTTACATTCTAGAGGAGGGGGCACTCATGGACTCATTCTCCTTTGGTACTGCATCTCCAGCACCTGAACTGCCAGGCACATAGCTAGTAGGCATGCTTATTTAAAATTATTGATGTTCTGTGCATGTGTGCACGCTAAATCACTTCAATCGTGTTTGACTCTTTGCAACTCTATGGACTGTAAGCCGGCTAGGCTCCTCTGTCCATAGATTGTCCAGACAAGAACACTGGAGTGGGTTGCCATGCCCTCCTCCAGGGGATCTTCCCGACCCAGGGATGGAACCTGCAACTCCTGCCTATCCTGCACTGCAAGCAGATTCTTTCCTGCTGAGCCACAGGGAAGCCCTTATTGATGTATATGGCTTTATATTTCTGGAACATTTCTTTAGATTTTATATAAATGTTATGATCAGGACTTCTAATTGACCATTCCCTATTTTTTTAAAGTGTTTTTTTTTTTTTCATTTTAGTCTACATACTAAAATGACTGTTGGTAAGATAACTACATTCCACGTTTTTATGATTCATGTAGTAAACAGTATTGGATTTAGATATGTAGTAGACAAGATACTAATACTAAAAAAGATTTTTATTGCAATGTTTTCAGATTGTTTCTCACTTTGACAAATATTTTTCTAATAGTAATCATGAGGTTTGGTTAACTGATTAAAGACAAGATAAAGATGCTGGTATATAGAAAGAGTTGATTTATAGGAAAAATATTAACATACATTTACTCAAATAGGCTGTCGGACTGATGCATGTTAATCTTTAGTTTAATACAAAGAGCTATAAAGATGATCTGGGAGATGTTGAGCTGCT